GAGTGATGTCACAAAAGTTAGACCCTGTCTGGCCTACACCTTCTAAGTGCCTGTTTTTTATTCTTATTAAACCTTTTATATGGTTACCTATGTTGCAAATGTATTATCTTTTCAATTTACACACGGCATCTATTGCACGTCTGTCCGTCCTGGGAGAGGGATCCCTCCTCTGTTGCTCTCCCTGAGGTTTCTCCCATTTTTCCCTTTAAACTTTGGGTTTTCTCTGGAAGTTTTTCCTTGTACGATGTGAGGGTCTAAGGACAGAGGGTGTCGTATTGTCATACTGATATTCTGTACAAACTGTGAAGTCCACTGAGACAAATGTAACATTTGTGATATTGGGCTATATAAATAAACATTGATTGATTGATTGGTTTCCTGTCCAGCATGCTCCTGCGCCACGCCTTCTCTCGGCTGCGCTCCACCCAGGTGGCGGTGGTTCACTGCAGCGCCCAGACGTCATCCCGCCATGTGCTGCAGAAGCTCGGTCAGACCTGCATGTTGCTCAGCTCGAACACGGGCCGAGTCTTTAGACCAAAAGACTGTGAAAACCTCGTGCTCTACCTAAAAGACATCAACCTACCCAAACCTGACAAATGGGGGACCAGCAACCTCACTGCCTTCCTGCAGCAGGTAGAGACCACACATTCAAAACTAAATACTAATAGACAAGACAACAAGTCAGAGAATACTTGATATGGTTAAAAAAAACCTTTGACACCTGAGTCCAGGGTTGTTCCATGTATAATCGGAGACAACTTAAGAGTCTTTTTTGACTTACTTTCTCTTAACTTCCACTTTCCTCGTCTATATCTTCTCTTTGTCTCGTTTCTTTCCTCCAGGTCTTGACGTATAAAGGATTCTATGATGAGAATCTGGAGTGGGTTAGTCTTGAGAACATCCAGGTGGTGGCCTCCATGTCAACAGGGGGAGCTGTAGGCAGCCACTCCCTCACCTCCCGCTTCTCATCTATAGTTCGCATTGGCACTATAGAGTAAGTGGAACTCGAATGTAATCGAAGCATTTCTTTGTATTTTGCAGAACTGCCTGCGATATACATGTTTCTGACTGCAGGCACTCAACTAATTTTGGAAACTTTGTAACATCAGCATGTTACCTCAATCTATTCACTGTTGGTTTCCCTCTTACCCCAATCCCCTCTCTTTTAATTTCTGACATCCATCTGTTTCTCTGCCTCTTTGCCTCTGCCTTTAGCTATCCAGACAGGGAGCAGCTGCAGACTATCTACTCTGCGTACCTGCAGCCAGTTCTCCAGCACAGCCTGGGCAGCCAGGCATCGTGGGCCAGCACCGGGAAAACACACCAGCTGGCTGGGTCTCTGGTGCAGCTCTATGAACAGGTATTTACATGGACAGGTTGTTCCTTGGTGCTCACATTTGTGTTTGCAGCTACATGGTCTCGCCTGAGATGTTGAAAGCATAACCATTAGCATATCAGGTTGCTTTTTTGAACTTCATGAAATTACTCTGGAGCACACTTAATTAGACTCTCAAATGTCACACAATTAATTATGTGATATTTCAAGTTATAATTGGATGCTTTTGTTTGTTTTCTCTGAGGGTTCTCTTGCTAAGGGAACTCAATATAATGGTTTGGTGAGAAGGAGGATTCAACAGAACTACAATATACTACTGGATTACAAATACTTTTTATTTAACAACCTTAACCCACGTCATGTGTTTTGAAAAGTGGAGTTCTGGAGGAGAGTTCTGTCTTTTATGTAATACACACTAGCCTATCTGTGAATGAAGCCCCATATGGCTTATTCCAAATATAAACTGTGGATAGCACAGATTGAGCTTTTAGAGGTAAGATAAGTCATGTTTGATGCTGTTAATGCTGAGGCGGACACACATGGAACTTATTTTGGTAAATCAATTGATTTGTTGATTTTCAGCATATTGTCAATTGTTAATGGATTTGTCCTATAGCTATAAACGGATCTCCCTGTGTATCTTACTTTCAGGTGAAAGCCAAGTTTACAGTAGATGACCACAGCCACTACCTGTTTACCCCCTGTATCCTCACAGAGTGGGTCCTCAGCCTGCTGCGATATGACCTCACTGCAGGTAACCAAACACACACGCACCACATTCATTTGTAAGCACTTTTACTGTCGGGAATGAGATTGATGACATTACCAGCTCTCACTTAGGAAACAAATAGGAACCTGAATGGTGTCCCGGGCTCATGTTGTGCGACCAGTCCTCACATAGATTCATTTTGTTGGCACTGAGGAACATAAAGCATCACAACTGCCAGATCAAAAGGACAACACCATATGGCTCAGTCTGTTGTCAGTTTTCTATTAGAACTACTGTCTCCAACTCTCACCTTTTCCTTCACTTGATCTCTCCTCTGTTTGCTCACTTCCTCTCTTTCACTCTTCTCTCTCCCCCTCTTTTATCAACCTCTCCCTTTGCTGTCCTTTCATCTCTCCCTCTGTCACTCGTTCTCTCCTTCTGCAATGTGTTCCTGCTGTGATAGTGAGTCCAATCATTTATTTTAATTAAACACGTCAGCGGACAAACTTGTCGTTTCCTATGCTCATCATTTTCTAACGTACTCTTGCTTTTTCCTCTCTCTTTTCCCCTCTCGCTGCTTACCTTCTTTTTGGTATGTAAAAAAACCCTCACTTCTATGACTGTGTTGATGTATGTGGTAAATGTGAGTGTGCATTTGATCACAATGGATCAACAACACATCACTGACAACTCTCATGGCATTGTTTGTTGGCATTTACTTTGTTTATTGTGTTTCCCCACACACATTATAATGAGGTAATGTATGATGCCAGATACATTAAAGGTCCCATGTCATGGCCATTTCCACTAATCATAATTCCATTGTTGAGTTGTTTTCCAAACTCACATTGGTTTCTCATACAGCATCTCTGTAAACTACGTGTATTCACTGAATTTCACTCTCTGCCTTTAACGGCTCGTTGTAGCTCCAGTAGCTCCAGCCCCCACCCTCCCTGTGAGCACAGTGTGCTCTGATTGGTCGGGACGTTGTGAATCGCGCTAAGCTCCGTGGAGGTGTTGTTTCCTTGTTTAGCGATACACAGCGAAACACAGCCAAACTCATCCTGAGCACACACAAAGTCACAGCCGAAGTAAAAACAATAAGTGTGGCTTGATATTGAGTAAGAAAAAGGTTGATAAACGCTGTGAGAATGGGTCTGCAGAGAGAATTTCGCCGCGATCCCAACTTTCTGTTATCAGCCTGCAGCCAGGGAGGAGAGATCAGCAGAGCTGCTTGCACTGAGTGTGTGTGTGAGGAAGTCCGTGGATTGGTCAATTTGGACCAATCAGCGGGGGCGTAACGTAACGGCTCCGCGGACGTAACGTAACGGCTCCACGGATTGGTCCATTTAGTTCCGGGTACGGTTGCCATCATGCGTACCCGGAAGAATCAATGGACAGTGACGTATCTCCAACGAGGCGTTTTGGGGAGGTATT